GCTCAGACGTCAAGACAAAGAGTATTCTGATCCTCGCATAATGTGGTATTCTTACAGTTGTTTTGAACGACAATGAGAGAGTTCAAAAACGTCAACTCATTCGGGAGAATCGTCAACGACGCCAATTGGAATCAACCATTCAATCAATGAAACGTTTCGAGATGAACATGTTCGAAATGGAATTAGTTCGAACTGAGGTACGAACATTACATCTTCTTATAACTATATGAATAGTTAGCCGTTATTTATTTTGATGATATACCGCAGCAGATTCATTGAATAGACTTGTGACGTCATCTACTCTTATGGCGTCACCTTTCGCTTCTGCTTTTCTGCATATTTTTTGAGGACAATGTCTTCTGAGAGAGAGAGAGAAGTGTTGCATCATCTGAGCACAACTAGGCATTGAGCTTAATTTGAAGTTCCATACGGAACACACAAGTTTGTATTCCTTTTGGAGCAGATGGTAGTATACCGTAATCTATAGCTGACACTGTTTCGGGGGAGGACGCCGACCAATTCTACCTCCCAAACAGAGATAATATTGCATAACATGTTTCTTTCGGCTGAAAAACGATGATGATGAGAGTAAGGAGAGGTATAGAGAGAGGGTCAGAGAATAAGGAGTCAGAATCTGATCATTGCAAACAGTTTTCGAATCAACAACTTCATAAACAGACAACTCATTTCAGATCAATAGAACCACCAAACTCTATTGTCAACTATTCGACAAACCCCTCTGTAGAAACTTGATGATGTCACCAGCTACTGTAATAACCAGTGATGAACAAATTGATTCTCTTATTCGTCCTGTATTACGTCGAGCCACTTCATATGCTGCTGGATTATCAGTCTTCCAAACGGTATTGCCATATAGAGAATACTGTATCTAACTCAAATCTAATTTCAGATTGATTGCAAGTCACAGAAGCATCTGATATCAGAGAGCTTCCTTGAAGTGCAATTACTTCGATTGATATCTTTCTATGATGATGCTGAAAACTGCTTCAGACCATCAGAAAATCTGTTTTTGCGTAAACATGATCTGATTGACAGCTTAGAAGTTGATATTGTTGATGCTGATGATAGCGGTGAGGACAGTTATGCAATAGAAACAACAAAACCTTCTCATTATAGAAGAGCTATCAAACCTTATCAGCATTCTATTCGCTGTTGCTCATTCACTAGCTGCATGCCAATTAGATCATCGGCAGCTTGCCATATTGACAGCTTTATTCATCTTCAACCCCGATAACTTGATGAATTCATCTCAGGTAAATGATTCTTCAAGATATTCTGATGATATTCGCTATCGTTTCAGTCTGAGAATGATGAAATCACTGACTGTCGTGATCATTTGTTGGACATGTTCCGTTTGCTAACAGACGAAACAGCTGAATCTCCTTCAGATATTCATCGTTGGCCACGTCTTCTTGCTCGTGTAACACAGTTCAGAATCTTGTGTTCACGTCTGAAGCGTCATTTGACACCCAAAAACTTTCAGCTTTTCAATACTATTTTAGCCATCTAAAGAGTGAAGTTCATGAGAGTCTAGAAGTGAGATTGAGATAGTTAGCAGTAAAGCATGGTCGTGTGACACTTTAATGTACATATAAAGAGAAAATGAGAGGTTAGAGAGAGAGAGAGAGAGCGAGTGAAAGAGGAGAAAGGTCAGGTGAGGACGCGCAGAAGTTCAAGAAGAGACGCTGTAGACTAGACGCCAGAAGTATAAGACACTCATTACGGAAGTAGAAGAACGTTGAACTGAATGAAATGCATTCATTTCATCCAAAAACATAATTGTATATAAACAAAGAAATCAGTTATAGGAACAACAGAGGGCAACCACTTGTGCAACGTGTATATAGAAAATTGAATAATCATCATTAACTATATATAGTATAGTATATAATAATCATTATTACAGATAATTTAGATGATGAGCTGATGAAGGTAACACGTATTATCCTTTAAATATTCAAATATTACTTTTGACAATCTCTTTAGATCATATTCTTGTGATTAATAAATTATTTCTTTTGCATATGCAAAGTTGTTAACTATATGATATCATAAGCAGCATAAGTATGAATGTAACATTCTCTCTTCTGTACTTCTCTCTCTTCAATATACTTCTTCATCATTGAAGATGAACAAACAAAAAAAGAAAAAGAAATAATAATTTTCCTTTTTTGGTTATTCTTTGTGAGTTTGTGTAAGAAGTGAACGAAATGAAAAATTGAACAAGCTATTCAATATATTCGCCGTAATTTCATAATAATTATGAGAAAATTGCAGTCAGATGGCCTCCGGCTATAGATTTCAATGGTTTATATAATGACATTTCGAGATTTTTAGATCCCGGAACACACAAAATTATTTTTCAACTAAGAGCGTTAGGCGTAAGACGACGAAGACGAAGAAGAAGAAGATGGATGAACTTGCATTGCCTTTCTTGAAGTTTCATTACTTATCTTTATCACTTTAACTATGCCATCATGTTATTAGAATGCAACCGTTGTGTACGAGTCGAGTGATTATGGTAGAAGACATGAATCTGTCTGAGTCATTTCCTCTTATGGACGAGGATAGGTGTAAGAGGAAATAGCTTCAAGCATTGTGTCATGATGCTTACACTTCAATCTTTCCAAATTACTCGGCCACTTCTGCTTTTTCCTTCTCTCACCCACCTCTTTCTCTCTCTTTTTTTTTGTTTTGTTTTGTTATTCTTTCTAGCACATACAGATGAATGAGAGAATAAGACGATGAGAGGAAATGAGAAGTGAATTCAACTAATTCTTGAGGCAAATCACTTCATTCGCTAGTTAGAAATCATATGCAAGCATTTAAGGTCAATCAGGTATTGTCAAAAAGCCATTGAAACTTTTTCTTTCAAAGACAACCTTCCCTTTTGCCACTTGTCCTCTACAACTCGCTCATTCGCTAAATGTTCAGAAGAATATTCAAACATAACTTTCATATGTGTATGTATGATTTGTATTTGATTCCTATTTCAGAATGCTCAAATGGATATGGAATAGCTTAGCTAATCCAACACTGGCTATTGGCTTATCAATTACAGCATTCATATCTGCAACAACATTCTTTCCAATTATTATTATTGAAATGATGTACTTATTTTCTAATAATAATTTGGAACACTGCATGGTAAGCTTCTATCCTGCTTATACCCTCAGCCTTAGCTCCCCCCCTTAGCTTATACAGTCAACCGAGACTGAGAATGTTGTTACATGTTATAGTTATAGATTACGGTAGGAAACATTGCTAAAGAAATCAAATTGATTAACAATGAAGAATTGCTTCTTCAACGTTCAAAACGTCAAATGTCTTGTACGTTGTTCATATGTGATGAATCTTATTCTTCCAATTAAGCATGCTGTATTGGACCACCAGGACCGCCTGGATTTCCTGGTAAACCATCTCCGGATGGTATTGACGGTCGTCCAGGTAAGAAATACCTTTTCAAAACAATAAAGATCTATGATAAACTCATATCTCAATAGGTAGACCTGGAAACCCAGGAAGACCAGCCGATGATGATCCCAGATCAGTATGTGTACGAGACTGTCCTGCTGGACCACCGGGGTGAGTGAAATCTCGTATTCCTAACCTGTTTCTAGCAGTCTGTGTTCGCTCATAATTGCTTCTAATTCAGAAGACAAGGATTCCCCGGTACTAAGGGCAACAGAGGCTTCCCTGGTAAACCTGGATATGCTGGTGAGATAGGAGATCCATCTCCACCCGGAGAACCTGGAGAGCCGGGTGATCCAGGACAGCCCGGAGAGGCAGGTGAACAAGGAGAACGAGGAGATCCGGGTACACTATATGTAGCGGAAGGTCCGCCTGGAGAAAGAGGACCTCCAGGACCACCAGGACCTACAGGATCAAAAGGAAGACGGGGACGTCCAGGTTTAGAAGGTGAACGATGTTCTGTCTTACAAATGTTCATCAAATACATTTAGGCGAACCAGGATATACGGGTGAACCAGGAGAAGAAGGTGAGAAGGGAGAGAGAGGACCGCGAGGATCACCTGGTCTTGTTGGCCCCACAGGTAAGATGATACAATAATCCTTAAGCATCTAATCAAAAAATCCAGGATACCCAGGACCAAGCGGATCATGTGACCACTGCCCGCAACCACGTGTGTCTCCCGGATATTTTGAGAATCAATGATCATAACAATAAAATTGCAAAATAGGCAAATTAATTTCGCTAACCAAACATATCAATTGATTCTCATAACGAATAGCAAAGACGAAAAGATATCTGACAACTTGTACATTGTATTTTGTTTTCATAAAACAAGTAATGACATGTGAACTATACATATAAGCTATGCTACTGTACTTCATCATCATGTTGTTAGAGCCAATGTGAGTAAGCATTTTCAATGATTGAATCTAGAGTGAGACAAAGCTAAATCTTATTGGAATAACATAGATGAATGATCTTATCATTCTTTTTTCCAATGATTTATGTCAAGTCGCAATGCATGTTTCACAAAATAAAAAACTTTCAATGACAAATCGCGTCCAATTAAATGAGATCATTCTTGAAACAAAAAAATTTGATGAGAAACATTTCAGTTTTTCTTTAAAATGAAACCTTTGATATCTCAAACATCTTATGCGGATAGGAGAAAGCTTGGAATTTAAGGAAAAAGCAAGTGTTTCTATCTCATCCTGCTTATTCCGGCAATGTACAACCTCTTTGCGCTATCTTCCCGAGAAGATTCACTTCTCAAATCATCACTCATATCTACATAAATCTCTTATTCACTTCAACTTTTACTTTTTCGTGTCATCATCTATATCCTCCCTAGATTAAAAGGAAAATTTCTTGACCTTTTCAGTTTCTTAATCTCCGACACAGTTTTATGACGGCAAAACATGAAAAGCTCTCACAAAAGGATATATATAAGCATTTAAAAATCGTTTGCCTTTCGAAGGAAGTCATTTTCGTTCACATCTGAATAAGAATGGTACGAGCGGCCGTATACACGGCTACTGCAGCCTCAGCTTTTTCCATTTTCGTATGCTTAGCTGGATGGATCGTTATTGCTAACGACATCAGCAATATGTATGATGATGTTATGATTAACATGCACGAGCTAAAGGTGAGTTGCAAAACCGTATGAGATAACTTTAAATATTATTTAAGGACGTTTCTGAAGATGCTTGGAGCCATATCCTCACATTCCATGGACGAGAATCAGAACCACAAACTTTCAATACAATTATTGGAAGATATAAGCGTGACTCATCCGTCTGCAGTAAGAGCATATTTAGCTCAAAGTAAAACTATATCTTATTCTTAGGCTGTGGTCTGCCAAGCCAAGGATGTCCAGCTGGACCTCCTGGACCACCAGGACCCGCAGGAGAACCTGGTAACATCGGTCCTGATGGATCCAACGGCCCAACAGGATCAGCTGGATTAGCTCTCTTCGACTCTGCTCCAGTAGCAAGAGGATGCATTAGATGTCCCGCAGGCCCACCAGGAAACCAAGGAGTTCCAGGACACGAAGGACCTGTTGGAAGAGATGGACAACCCGGAAAGAGAGGATTAGGTGGAAAAGATGGAGCCCCAGGCGAACGTGGAGAGCCAGGAGAGCAAGGAGAGCCAGGAAGACCTGGACAAGTAAACTGCTCCCAAAAACTATTAGATGATATCAAATATTTACAGGATGGAATGTCTGGAGCCCGTGGAAAAGAATGCTTAACAGGAAAAGGAATACCAGGAAACCCTGGTAGACCTGGCATACCTGGTGAACGTGGTCCAGGTGGCAAAAATGGAGAAGATGGTGAAACAGGAATTCCTGGAAGAGCAGGACCTTTAGGCTTATCGGGATTGGACGGACTTTCTGGCACACCAGGAGAGCAAGGATTCGTAAGTTCCATCTAATAATCACATATACAAAGAAAAATGACAGGTCGGATTACCTGGACAACCTGGAGATGACGGTGAATACTGCACATGTCCGGAAAGAAGCAGACGTCGCCGGAAGTTACGTCGTGTGTTCATTTTGTAAACCTAATAAGAATAAATCAGTAATTAATAATCAAACATTGTTCTAAGTACCCTTTAAGCTTTGTATATACACAACCGGTCACCAGGCGGTACAACGGAAATGACGCCGATTAAACGTTTTGAATTTACGCCACATGAAAACTGGTATGAACTTTGTCATTAGAGCGCATTTTCTCGAGGTCTCAAAATATTTGAACGAGTTTGTTGAGCTTTTAAGGAATTTATTGGTTTTTTAAAGATAATAAAGCTATGTTCCCGTAATAAGAAATTTGATACATTAACATTCTTAAAAAGGACGATCATAGTATGAGCTCTTTCGAGCACACATGGTTGTATTCACGAAATGAAGACGAGTATTCAAAGCAGCAACAGGAGAAACAAATCCGTGTTTCTCCAAAAGCTGCTGAACTTGTCCCTTATACTTCTTGTTATAAACATTCTGATCACGTGTCAACACCTGAAGAACAAATTCAGTTGGAATATTATGATGATGTCTCTACCATTGTGGGATATTTGACTGGTGTACTCAATATCATAAACTCGTATTGTCCCTGACTGTTCACTCCACCAACCATAACAGGGAAGACTGAAACAGAAAGATATGTGTCTGGTTAATATTCCCTATAGCATACATGGACATGGGTCTTCAGGGTGTCCCGTTGAGATGAGAACTTCACCAGGATCTGGCCCCATCATACGTCCAAAGCCAACATAAGACACGACGTCATCATTCTTGAGAACGTACTGTGTTGATGTGAAGGTTGATGTAAATTCATTCTTTCCCAACGATTCGACTGAAATATTAATAATTCGGAGTTTATGAAGGATTTGAACAAACAGTAAAAGACAGCACAATCATCTTTGTGGATATTTTTAGAGTCAACAACCTGAATTACAAGAATGATTAGAGCGCAACGAATGTTTGATATTTTTTTGTCAACTCCCTTTGAGCTGTATTGGAAAGGAAGAGTTCAAAGCCTCGATGTAGGAGATGCTCAATCTCTTCCTTCATTTGTGTCGTCGTAATTGAGGGAAAATACAATTTAAATCGAACTTACGCGATACCATTTGCCCATGATGCGCTCAATTTGTATGTCAACCATGGCGAAGAAAATTGCGTTATACAGTTTTTGAGCTACTTCTTCAGCATTTAATGATTGCATAATCTGTAATTATGTGCACATAGTTTATGAAAATCACGTCAATCTGCTTGATTGGTAAACAAACACATCAGCTACTTGAGCAAGACTACAGGAACACAAAAAGCAATAACTTACTTCTGCAAGTTGGTCCATACGAAAATCTCGTTTTCGAATTGGCCGACAAGAAGCTGCATAGTTCTCAAACAAACGAAGAATGGGCACTCGTCTACCAGGTACAGGAATCCCTCCTAGTACTGAACCTTAAAGTAGTTCACATACACATCAAACAAGCAAAGATATAAAACATACTGATGGCTCCAACATAACCAACGACAGCAACGAATATGAATAGTTTTAACATTTAACAGTGAAATGATAGGAGTAACTATCGTATATCTTAGGATTTTGGAATGTTTCTGTTTAGCAATATGCCCATAACCGTCGTAATTCTCATGACCTTGACGTCGTTGACCCACTGACATGAAATAGTACCAGACAGTCAGGTAAATGAATTGAACACAAGTGTCCACTAACTTTATCTTTCTCTCTACATCTAGTTAGTTTCAACAACTGGAATGTGTTAAAATGATTGGGGCTTGAATGCTTATAGGGGGAGGGGGGAGGAGAGCAACCGATTCGCGAGCTGTGCAACTTGAAAATGAACTTCACCAAGTACCTGAGCAGATGAACTCCGTAGTGCTATGATTGAAAAACGTAACAAGGTTATACATAGCATTTATTAAATGTTTTACTCATGTAATAGCATAAGTGAACAAAACAACGAATATAAGTAAACATGATTTA